ATCATGTATATTTATACATACACATACATTTCTTATTTGAATATTAATTTAAACCTTATTTTGAATGTCATACAAAAATGTAAAATTGTATAGTATCAAAATCATTTTCAAAGAATATTAAAAGAGAAAAATTTTATGAGTTGAAATATTTTAATCACATAAGAACAAAAATAATATAAGCTATGTGCTTCTTTATAACTTAACTCATATTTCTTAAGATTTTCTCAATTTCTAACATGGTTAATCATCCTTAACAACTTGTCATGCATGACAATGCAACTTCATCAAATAAATATGGTGATACAAACTATATAATAGACTAACAACCAGTATCAATATGCCAGCCTCTTTCTTTAGATAAGAAAAGTACACACAATATGAATAATCTTAATAGCATGTTTGGGTTGAGGGGAATGGAAGGGAAGGGAGAAAATTCCTCTATTATGTTACTAATTAAGGAAAACAATTTCTTTATGCCATAACAAGCATTTATAATAACTTAAAATTTGTATGACTCTCATTTCTATTACCAATGCATATTACAATTTTTGTATTTTGTTCATTGAATGTATACAAAATTCATCATGCTAAAAAAATGTATCTCAAAAAATTTAGTCAAATCATATGCAATCCAAATACAAACTACATAAAAGACACATAATCTAACACCAATTTCACTTTGACAACATAATTTTAATTCTAAACTCTTGTTTCTATAAAAGTTCATTTTCAAAATAAGTTTTACATGGTATACTTCAATACATAACATGATTCCCTTTAACTTTATACTTGTATCCTTAATAATGAACTCCTAGTTTATTTAATCTATGCATCACTATCCAAAATAAATTTCCATATCACAATTTATAAATAGGTAGGAGCAATACTTGAATCAATTACTTTTTGATATGAATATAAATACTAAAAGAACCATAACTAGAAATAGAGAATCAGTAATATTCTCAAAGGAGTTTAAGATACAACTATACTTTTACTTTATGGACTCCTTTATATTCATTAAATAAGTCCATAAAATTAAACATGAACAAGTCAATTAGTAAGAACACTATCCTTTATTTTTATTTTTTTTAATTTATAATTCTTACTAATTGCTCCCATGACTTTAAGTCAATGTATACACTAATCACCTTTGGTAGAATATTGAGTACACTATCATAAAAATAGCAACTTTATTCTTCATCTTTAATAGTTTATTTTTTATTTTCCAAATAAATCAACTAACTTTAAATGACACGAGCAATGTGATCAAACTAATGGGTTAAAAAACTTTATTGAAACTCAAAAGATTCCAATAAAAGTGAATTAACAAGAATAGTCCCACAAAAAATAATCATCCTCAGGCAGAAAATCCTTTATGAAACCAAAACAAAAACCCTCATTAATCACTCACTTCTTTCAATCACTATGCAAATCAACCTCTTTGGGCAAGTAATCATACATGCTAAATTCAAGAAGAAAACATTTCAAAATCCTTACTGAGAAATCTACAAATCTTAAGAAATGACCCACTTTGGCAATACCACTCACATCAATTCATAAACTCCCATTAAAACACTTACCCAACATAATATTCTAGAATCCTTATTGAGAAATATGTGAATCTTAATAAATGGCCTATTTTGGTTTTGGTAGTATCATCCACATCAATTCATTAGCTCCCATTGGAATAATTGCACATAAGTAATGTAACATTCTAAAATCCTTATAGAGAGATCAACCAATCTCTCGTTAGAACAAAATCTTTTGATATTCTAAAATTCTTTAGTGACAAAAACCAATTGATCCTAATAAATGAACCATTGATATTATTCACATATTAATCATAAAACCTTATTAAGACTTTCATCTATATATATGGTCTTATAATCTCTTTCAACCATATTTTCTATAATCTTTAATAAAAGCAATTCTAATAAGAGTAATTCTTTATAATTATAATATATGAATTAAAAGAATCTTAAAACTTTTAGGAAGACCTTCAATACTAATTGGTTCCATTACTTTAATATTCAAAGAAAATCATATAAAATCCTTATTAGTATCTTAAATGAACCAAGATACACAAATACTAAAATTAATAGAACTTTATCAAATATCTTTTCTTCTAGATTTTAAATTTTATGCACTACCACAACTAAGCTATTACCAATATATATAATAAGAGGAGGGATCTTCCTCCACACAAGTTTTACACACCACACTTAACACAAAATCTTAACCATTCATCTTTCTACTTTCAGTGGTTGAAATTTATTCATATTTATTAAAGATAATTATTTTTTTAATCTAAAAAGCTGCGATAAATCTCAACCATTGAAAGTGGAGAGATGAATAATTGAGATTTTGTATAAATGTAATGTGTATGATTTATGTATAAATGGATCCCTACTCATATAACAAGCAGGCATGATGATTCCTTGAAGTTGATTAATTGTCAACATAATCTATTATATATCCAACAACCTTAAATGATATGTTGTGAGCTATATCCAAGCTTTAATTCCACAAAACCTCTCTAGAGATTTAGAATTGAAGAGTCAAACTATGGAATTCATATACTAGACCTACATATGAAAACAAATAACTTCATCTTGAATAAAATACCATCATAAGTAAGATCAATAACTCAGTTAACTTGTACCATTGAAGTTTACCTTGATACATCTTGGTGAATTATTAAAACTTTAACTCTTAAGAATCCTTACTCAAATAAAATGGTTAGGATTAATTTACAAAAATAAAATATCATCATGAACATGGAGCAGGATCAAATACCTTTAACAAGAGAATAAAATCACACACTTGTTGATATATATATATATAATATATTTAAGGATCCACTTACATAAATCTTATGTACTACATTTACACAAAATCTCAACCATTCATCTTTTTATTTTTAATAATTGAGATTTATTCACATTT